ACTTTAGTAACATCTTATCAGATTAACAATAAAGTTGCCATAAGCCACCCAATTGGATGTAACATCGTTCAACATGGTCTTAATTTTATGCAAGTCATGCAGCTATTAGTTCATTTACTAACCGTATTTTTACGAGAGCCCAAATACCAAACCTCCTGGAGCGTGCTAGTTTATCATCAGGATATTGGCTGAGACCAGGTGAATTAATTTCATTCTATTTAGGTAAATTCTTAATCTAGGACTTAGCATGCGTCTCATCCTTTCCAAAAAAATGTTAAATTCTAAATTAACAAATTATGTTTTTTTTTTACCAATCGTTATCTCTTCTCATGGACATGTGTCGAGAGGAACTTAAATTTTTTTAAAATAATAGAGGCCGCATAAAACAGAGCCTTTATAATTCTTAAACAAAAAAAAATCAAATTATTATTTATTATTCTTGTTGTTTGGGAACGATGTATTCCCACTTCCGGTTTTATAGTGTAATCGCTTCTATATTTTTATTTTAAATTAATTAAAAATACCCCACAAAATTTTATTTTAATAATTAAAAATTTTAAAATTACGAATCTTTATAATATATTACCAGAACATATTTAATATGATCGTTATTACAACAAGGAAATTATTTTTAGGAACATTATTTTAGCATTATATATGTATTCTAATCGAAAATATTTTTAATAATTGTAATTGTTAATAGCATATATAACATATATAAAAATAATTACATATTTTTCGTAAATTAATATTTAATCATGGCTAAATTAAATTATTTTTTTTAGAAATATGAGAGTATTAAGTTAAAAATAATATTACAATTTCCACGTTACTAGGAAAAAGCTCTGAACTTAAGACAGGAATTCAATTGCTAATAGTGATTTCGAAAAGCAAGTATAGTTATTATAATTTAAAATACAAATTTTTCCCTATTATTGGTATTTGGGTGATTTATTTACTTTAAAAAATAGTAATTGTGCTCAACTCACCTAAAATTGTATTTTTTTTCTATTAATTCTATCTCGAGTCTATTGATAATTTTAATAAAAGTGGGGCTATAAAGTGTTTAAATAACATTCTTATCTAAGTAACAAACACGTAATCATAATTAAGGCATCTTTAATTAAAACACTAAGGTTACCATATCTATTTCCATCATACCTTCTTGAACTAATTCTGATATATTAAACATTAATTTCTATTTTAAACATTTATTACTATATTTTCTTATCAGTTTCGCTGCTTTTGCCATTATATAAGAAGACTTATTTGATTTTTTTTGTACAATACACACATTTAGTAGTATAACTAAAAAAAATATGAAGTTGGAATATCAAACCAGACAAAAAAAAATATATTATTAATTTTTTTTTTTATTTTCTATATTTGGAAATGTTGATTTTGTAATATTTATATATTGAAATATGTTATTTATATAAGAAATATTATCAAGTTTTGGAATTATTACAAATATTTTCGGTTCTTGGTTAAATGGGACTGGTTTTTGTGATCAGAATATATATAATTTATTCAATTTTTTTGCCAGGTTTTTGTTAGATTCTTAATGAATTTTTTGATCCAAATTAATCAGCCTTTATGGGAATCGGATCGATAAATCATCATAATAAAACTCCCAATATTTTTTAACGAAAAAAATAATAAACTAAAAAATTTAAAATGAGCGTATACGGGTCATTTTCTAAAATTCTTTCAAAATTGTCGGCAGGAGTTAGACAACAGTTAGAGAATCAATGCTGCCCTGTCCTCAATATGACGTTCATAAGGAAGTAATCTATAAAGCAAAACAAAAAATCGCTTTTAAATCTAGTAGATAAATGCGTGACTGGACTGATAATTGGTCAACTCTATTTATTTAGCCGTAATTTATTTATAATTTATTTTTTTATGGCTATATCGTTTATTCACTTTATATTCCCGAAATAAATTACATAATTTTTTTAGTGTGTGTGTGTGTGTGGAAAAGTAAAAAGTATTAGATAATAAAAAAATAAAATTACATATTATTGCAGTGAATAATTAATTTTAAATGTATTTGTATTTGACACTCTATATGTAGTATGCGATGCAATGAGATTCGAATCCGTGGGGAGTAGAAAACTCCCTCTCTGAAACCATTCACCGGAAACAGATTTTTTTTAAAAAATTTGACCGGAAATGGATCCTAGCATTTGAGTAACCCGAATCCCACACTGTGAAATTTTTAGATTTGTCACAAAATTTGATCTGTATAATTCAGAGACCTGCAGAGGTACCAATTGCGTTACCCGGCCCGGCCCGGATTTTTTTGAAAATATATTCAATTTATTTTCGATTTTTTATAAGCTAATAATGGCGATTCCGAATATTTGGTTTCAAAATAACCGGTTCGGCTCGGATATTTTTTCGACCCCGGCCCGGGTTTTTTAAAACACGGGCCGGGTTTAGGGCCTAGCCCGCAGGTTTCTGATATAAATTATAAAATGAGCAGTTAGCGTCAAAATTGTTTGAAATTTACAGTATGGGAACTCTGTAACTTTTGGAGGTGTCAGATCAAATTTTTTCAAAATATTAAAAAAATAATTGATTTAAAAGTGAGAGATTCGATATCCCAGTGGAATTGAGCCCTCTAATATTTTGAGCGATATTAAACCTCTTTTAATTGAACATTCAAAATAAACCTTAGAAGAAGAAAAAAATTATTTTCTTAGTGGTATTAAATAGACGGAATTGGAAGGACTACCTTAAGTTATATATTTTTTGATTGATAGGCAGGCATTACGAAATCAAATTCACATAATATTTTTTAAAAAAAATTAATTTTATTATATCGTTTGATTTGATTTATTCAATTAACTCCCCCCCCCCCCTACCCGGTTATTGTTTAAAATTTTCATTGTCTTAGTGGATAAACTTGTTAATTTGTTTTTGCATATGTTTTTTCTTCCCCAGAAGAGTGTACTGAGAATATTTGATCATGTCCCATTATAACGAGCATAAACAAGCCAATCCCATATAATTTTAACCGCTACCCTTTTCATGACCACCCGCAAAAGTGTCACGCCGCTATAACTGTAGGTCGAAAACCAAATCCATCCGTTATTATTAACCCAAATCTGAATCATCTAACCATAAAGTAATTTCACGCAGTTATAAAAACCGACAGTTAATCGTCAGTCACGGCTAAAAAATCTAAAAACCCCAAAAATGATGATTTGTTTTTCTTCGAAACGAAAACGATATTATTGCTAATTTCCATTCTCAGATTTTTGTATAGAAAATACATTATTCAAATTTTTTTTGGGGGGGAGAAATTCTATAAAATGGCGAAATAGTATTTATTAGATTAGTGTAAAATCGTAGAAACCCCATTTCGTATAAATAAAAACAAAATTTTCTAGATTCACTTATGGGCTATTTAGACTTATATTTTAATTATTGTTAAAACGGCTAACTCAACATTTTAGCCAGAAAAATAAGGCCCCTAGCTTCTAGATTTCGCTAATAGATGTCCAAACCTTCGTTCCTTCTACAAATAAAATCTTCAGCCTGCCTTGCGTAATAGTATTCTGGATGAAATATTGAGTTAGCCATTTTTAAAATTTGGCTCAAAATCAGTATATAAAATAGTGTTGTTAAACGGCTTTACTCAATATTTTAGCCAGAATAAATTATGCCTAAGCCTCGAGATTACGTTAATATAACGTCAAGACCTTAGATCCTTCTATTAGCAAAATCTTCAGTTCTTGCGTCATATTTTTTTCTGGATGGAATACTGAGTTAGCCGTTTTTTTTAAAAATCGGCTCAAAACGAGATGTTTAAACAACCACTATATAAAATATATATATATATATAATTATTTTGGCCAAAATGGGGAATTTCGAGTTTATATAACTTTAAAATTTTCTAAATGATAAAAAAAAATAAAACTTCTTCTATCAAAAAAAAGGGAAAAAAATATTCATAATAATTGATATAGTCGAAGTAAATGAGTTTCTGAGAAGAAAAAATGAAATTGTAATTTATATCTAAGGTTTTTTTTTAATAGGGGAAAACAAAGTTAGTAAAAGTACTTTTACAATTTATATTTTTTTAATAAAGCTCGTTTAAATATTATTTTATTTTCTTTCTTATAGAAAATAATAGTCCTTTTTTTTTTAAACAAAGTTATAAATTATGTAATAACTAGTTTTATATTTAAATTGCTTATTATTATTATTATATAGAATATTATAATTTTTTGAAAATAAATCTTCCCTTGATAACATGGCTATTCAAAAAAATAATATAGTGGAAAGTGGTCATAACCATATCGGTCTTGATTCAGCATAGCCTAAATCCATATGCCACTTCCGAATAAAAATAAGTGTTCCGTGGCTTTAATAAGTTATTAAAACTTATCACTGGGCAGTCATTGTTGGTAAAATTATCATTAGAAACTCTAAAAAAAATATTATGAATCATATATAAACTAATATCATGTTCAATTTACTTTTCAGTTAAATAATTATTTCTAAGGGTTTTCTAGCAATAAACAAATTTTTTAATAAAATGATTCCCTTTCAGAAATGTCTTATCACTGCTCTCTAACAATATAATATATCAAGATAGTATTGAGTCTGTTAATTCCTAAATAATATAGATAGTGGAAAAAAACGCTAACTAATTTACGTTTTTTTTTTCAGTTAACGCGATTAACAAAAAGCTTTTTACTAATTTGCGTGTTTTACCATTATAAAACGCGTTATCTGAAATTCACAAGGATTTTAAAACAAAACATAAATTCTTCGATACCTTCCTTTAACTGAGACAATATTCAAATGGCATTTATCATCATTATTTATGTCCATCCCTAATATAATATGTAATCATATATTCATAAATGTTTAAAAAATAATATATATATATATATTTATTTCGACAACGAAATTATATAATTAAACACATTATAAACTATAAAGCATTAACACAATCAAATGGTATCAGTCTCGTCTCATTAAACTATTTCAACGTTAGATGGGTGTGTCATAGGGAAGATTATGGGAGAAAAAAAAATGGATACAAGAGAAGACCTGGAAAAAAATGAAATTGGAAGCCTTGTTTTTTAAGGATTAATTTTTTGAACATTTTTTATTAATTAATTCGTTTTTTGGTTCCATTAGGACTATTGATGACAATCATGATGGGAACCGTTAAATTATTTGAAGCTGGACACCAACCTGCTTCCTTTTCCTCCATCACCCAAGAATCTTAAAAATGAAATGATTAAAATAAACTCGATAAAATTTATAATGTGTAATAAATGTAATATATAAGAATGGGGGAATAGGAAATGTATACGTATTGACATATCCCACTTTACTATACCATTTATCTAATGATGTATAAACGGCTTAACTCAATAATGTTAGCTAGAAAAATATTGCCTAAGACCGGAGATTTCGATAACATATGTTCTAGAAGAACCCCTGTTCCTTCTATAAGCAAAATAATCAGTTCTTGCCTAACATTTTTTCCGGATGAAATATTTAGTTTTAGCCTTTTTTATTTACATTTATCAATAATATTAAGAACTTTATTTTAATATTTAAATAACTATTTAAATTCATCTATAATTGTTAATTATTCCGAATTTTATTATTTATTCAATAAATTCCCATGTGGCAAATTTGTGGCATAACAAGGAGGCTTCAAATGTTATATTAATCATTTTAAATCTTAAAAAAAATTTATTTTGAGGTTAATAGGAAACTATAGTTTATGTCGTAGTAGGTGATCATTGGAGAGTAAGTGAGTGAATTGATCGAACCACTCTACTAATCCATAGTAGGGAACAAAAGCCTAACCTGAACCCAAATAGATCCGATATTAACTTTAGCTAATTTACCAGTTGGGAACAGTTAAAACTTTATCGCTTGAACCTTAACCAAACCGCTAAAAGAGTATTTTAACCGGTTTGAACATTATAGCATTTTACTAGTTCCGTTCAGGCCTAAAATTTATTTTGAGAGAAGGATTAGAATTGATATGATAAATTTTCCTGATTGGATAGAAGTATATGTTGAGATTGTTCATGTTATTAAAGAACGCATAAGATGAAATATGTTAAAGGGTCAATGTGAGACTGAATATTAATGGTGGTGATTGACATTGGAGAGTAAGTGAGTACTACTAATCCCCTAATAGGGAACAAAAGCCGAACCTGAAACCCAAATAGATCCGATATTAACTTTAGCTAATTTACCAAACTGGAACAGTTAAAATTATATCGCTTTGAACCTTAAACCTAACCTCTAAAAAGAGTATATTTAACCGGTTTGAAACTTTGTGATATCAATTTTTATTGACCAGGATTTGTCAGTATTTTAAAATATTTACAATGTTGACGCTTGTTAAAGCTGTCTAAGTTTGCTCACAGTAATAAAAAGTGTTCTATAGAATTGTTTCAAATCTCCTAATTTAATATAATTTGATTCGAGAGAATTTTAAAAAAATATTAAAAATATTGCTCGATAGTATTTTTTTAATGAAAGTATTTCTATTACTACTTCAAATTTTCTTTCTTTATCCTTTCTTTCTTTCTTTCTTTCTTTCTTTCTTTCTTTCTTTCTTTCTTTCTTTCTTTCTTTCTTTCTTTCTTTCTTTCTTTCTTTCTTTCTTTCTTTCTTTCTTTCTTTCTTTCTTGGAGAGAGATACTATATGCAAAATAATAAATTAGAATTAAGCTCCCAGTATTTCCAAAAACTTCGCAATAAAAAATTTATTTTCGCCAACAGCATAACCATCCTTCAAAGCAACCATAATTCTAGGGGTATAATCATTACATCTTAATCTAGTTAGTTTTTACCTTCACATCACATAGTTATAAATGCTGAAATTTCTTCCATTCTTCCATTCATAAAAATGGAGGTCAAGTAGTGTTGTTAAACGGCTAACTTGATATTGTATCCAGAAATGTATTTACATAAGCCTGAAGATTTTTCCCCATAGATGGCGCAAAGGTTTAAACATCTGTTAGCGAAATTTCAGGACCTGGGCAATATTTTTTATATTAAGAAAGAAAGAAAGAAAGAAAGAAAGAAAGAAAGAAAGAAAGAAAGAAAGAAAGAAAGAAAGAAAGAAAGAAAGAAAGAAAGAGAGAAAGAAACGTTCGTTTTTTAGAAATCGAATCAAAGCGAGCCGGTAAACAACACTAAGGTCACGTGTCATTATTTAGATCTTTTCTAGTATGCTAAAAAAAGGGCGGACTCATTGTTACAATAATATTTATCTATTTATGATTTTAAGGATTGAAAAAGGAAATAAATTAATGAAAGAAATGAAGTAATAAATAAATGGAAGGAGAAATAGAAACATTAAAAATTACAAAACAAAAAAAAAACAAAATATGCAAAACTCTAATTTTAGTTTTATTTACCCTCTAATGCGGCTAACTCAGCCAATCTATCTTTCATGGCGAAAATTTTGTCCCATCCTTTGGCTTCAACGTTAGCCATATTGTCATCTTTTGTCGCGTAAACATCAACGTGATCACTATTTTGGGAGAGTTTATTCACAAATCTCGGGTGCGCTTTGGGAGATTTTATGGATCTGGTCTTAATCGGTGACGAATCGTCCGTTAAGGGCAGTTCAACTGTAACCGGGGGGTTATAACCTCCTCCGAAATGGCCGCCATAACCTTTTTTGTTGATCTGAAGGGTAGGACGGTAACTATCTACCAAGCTGCATCCCAGGGTGTGTGAAAGCAACGATAATATTTTGGATTTGCACGTTCTCACTAAATAGATCAAGGCCACCGTTATGAAAAAACTTAGCATCAGAACCACTATCCCCACTATAATCTTGATGATGGAATGATCTCGTTCTATACCTTCGAATTCCTCTTTAGAGATCCTATAATTCTGCAGATTTCTAGAATTTTCTGGATCCGTCACAATCTGTTTAATGTCCGACGCGAAACGTTTAGTAGTAGATAGACTATAAAGGGTGGTAGGAGATAAGGTAGCCGCGTATTTATACGCGATCGATGGTTTAGCTGCCATGGCGAAAAAATTTTCATACCTCGCAGAACTGGAAGAGATTCGAGATGGGGAAAAAGAAAATATCAATCTCATGGTTGGAATAGTGGAGGAATGGTGCATAGTTTGTCCCGAATATTTCATGTGCACTTATTTATATATAAATATTATTATATATTACATACATTTTATTGATTTAAGTCATCTTCTTAAAAGATATTTTTTATTTTTTTTAAATTTATTTTGAAAACATCAAAAAAAAAATGTTATTTCCTCTTATTATCTCTAATTTCTCAATAATACAATATTAATGAACCTATCTAAAATGTCTTTTTATTGTAATTAATCTGCGCAAATCATTGATCAAAGATGATGATGAAAAGAAATAACCGAACCAATAATTTTAATATGTAATTATATTTTTGAAATATTTAAAAATAAAAAAATATTAAATAAAATATACAATTTATGAATTCAAAAAATACATTTATTTTTTTAAAAGATAATTTTATGCATTTTATTTATTTATTTTTTAAAATATAATTTGTAATAATATTTCGGTAGCCTTTATTGTTAAATTGACCTCGTCTTGCTGATGTGTTCTGATCAGCAACTGAGAATGGCCACGAATGGATCTAAGGTTCTCTATCTTTTGCTTAGTGAGAATTCAAAGTCGCTATTAGCATGCTAGAGGTATATGGTTTCAGTTGAAAATCTACATTAATTTGTGATAAATTGATAGTAATGGGCCGTCATGGTCTGACATATTAGTGACGTAAGATATGTGACAATAAAGTGAACGTTACTCTCTTTTAAAATCCATCGTCTCTGCTAGGTTCCAGATGAAAAAATCAAAATCTTGACATTAGAATCTTCGTAATAAATATATTTTTTTTACCTCGAATTTCAATATCTATTCGCATCTTCAACAAGAGGTCACTAAAAATCAACAAATATTGTTCACATCATAGCAATTTTATCCTTGCGATATATTGCGTTCTTAGCCGGAAATGGGAAACCGGAGGGAATACCAAGAGGAAAAAAAACAATAAAATCTTTTCATCCAGAAAAGGCAGGTATAAGGATTTTGTTCATAGATGGTACAAAAGTTCAGACGACATCTTATTAGCGAAAGACTCGAGGCTTAGGATCAGGTTTCTGGCTAAAATAGTAAGGTGAGCCGTTTTTAACAACACTAAGGAGAGAATGAGATCATATTTTAGAAGTTGGGATATTTTTTCGGATACTTTTAGGTGGTTTGTTAACCGTCGGTTACGGTTTTGTAAAAAAATAGCCGACCCGGTTTATAAATTTTTTTTTTAGAACCGATTCGTATTTTTAAAATTCTACGATCCGTGCAATTTAATAACTCTTGAACCGACTGCGGAAAAAATCGATAGGTTCTGAGTCTCTGTGAAAAAAAAATTTCGGTTTCAGATTTGTTTCGTGGAAAATATCTACAACTCGGGGTTCGGTCCAGAACTCTTGCAAACACCGATAATAATAAAAAATTAAATAATTTGAATATCGTCCATCTATTTTTAAAAACAATAATCTTAATTATCGTAACATAATTGATGTCCCATTTAAATTAGTATTGTTAAACGGCTCTGACTCAGTGTTTTATCCAGAAAAATAGTAAGTTCTGAAGATTCTGCTCATAGAAGGAACAAAGGTCTAGACATACATGATCGAAATCTCGAGACTTAGGCAATATTTTTCTGGCTAAACATTAGAAAACTATTTCTCATCGATCTATCTACCAATGAGTTATCAATAAATAATTTGGAAATAGAATTATAACATATAATAAGGAACAGAATCGAATATGGTAGTAATCGAATGAAATATAATTGGCGGCGATGCGTTATATTTTTCAACTGTCAATCATTTTTTGAGCACGTATTTTTGAAATCTAAAAAATCTGATTCTATCGGAAACGCATTCCAACATGTTTGGAATACCTATACCTATATGAATTTCAAGATACATTTATCATCAAATTTTTGGAACTTAATATAATTTACATTAGTTTATACATTTAATTTTTCATACAAATTATAAATGAAGTCAAAAGATATCGGTAAAATTATCAACAATTCATAAGATAATCGGGATTCTAGACATGCTGGAATACATTTCTGGTAAAATCAAAATTTTAAATATTTTTAAAAAAAACGCTCTCAAAAAAAAGGATCTATAGTTGAAAGAAATAACACATCGACGCTAACATATATATATATAAATTTAGAAATTGTGGATTGAAAATTTGATGGAATTAAAGTAGGTTTTGATATTATATTTTATATGATAAACTATTAGTATGGGCCGCTTAAAAAAAACGGGGCCTAGTTGGGTAAAAAATAAGCACGGTCCAGGCCCGACCGTTAAACTCGACATGTGTGACGATTCTGAACCGGGTCTCTCCGACCTCTATCATATTTATAAACTATTATAGTTACATCAGCTAAGGATTCACTGTATAAGTCATTCATTTACAAAAAGGGAATATGGCTTATAGGGTTTAAAACTTATTCCCCTTTTTTTGCACGCCATTGGTCGGAATACATTTAAAAAAATGATAATAAACTTGATTACAAATATTTTCATTTTATAAATGTAAGTAATTATTTTAAAAAAGCTTAAAATATTATTTCAATAAATTATTGATTATTGATTACCTATTCTAGTAATTTTTAGGGGGATGTATTTTAATCCAAAGCTGATATTTACATAATTACATTATATCAATCGATATCCTAATTTATTTATGTTTTAATAATGCTGATTATGACACAAAATATAGGCATGGCATTAGTTATGCCTGTTAATTATAAGGGAGAATATATTAAACATTCTATGATATTAAGTTACCAAAAATTAATATTAATTCCCCTGAATTGAATAAGAAATTATAATATTAATAAATGTACAAATGGTTATAAAAAATAAAAATTTACCATTATTTTAATAACCAAAAAATAAATATGCCTAGCAATATTTTAATAAATAAGATTTTATTTTTCATATGTTTTATTTTATTTTAAACACAAGTGACAGTTAGTTATCCTTGTCAAATTTCGATCTTAAACCATAATAAATGCCAGAAAAATCGGGAATTTTGTGGAATAAGCAAATAAAATAGCCGACATATTTTGGAATGAATCATTTTCGAGTAGGTTCGAGTCAGATTAATCAACCAGTGTTAGTTATATTGAGATTCAGCCGTACAGGTAACTGAGGGAGGAAGAATGAGGAATTGGTAAAATGGAAGGAAGGAGAAATGGAAAAAATAGAAAGAAATATATATATTTTTTTTTTAATTTATACAATGTCATGACCAAAATCTTTTAATTTTATGCCATTTTCTCTAATAATATCTTGTAGATAATGTAGTAAAAAAAAAATGATAATTTTATAAGATGGACATAGCTATTGGAAAGGAAAGAAAGTAAATGGAAAGCAATTTCAAGATTAATAAATATTTATGAGCTGGGAATTTTGTACATATTTTTTTTTGTTCCAAAAAATTAATAAAATTAGAATTACGGGGAATTAAAATGTTCTATCTGCTGAGATATAATATATATATATGTGCATATTTTTTTTTTAAATCTAAAGAGATTATGCAAGAGTGGGAGGAATGCGTAGGAAGTCGCCATTTTATTTCTGCATTAAAAACTCAAAAAATTGGCCAAATTCTATCTGTAGATTGCGTTAGATAAGGCGTTAAAATATCGTAAAACGTATTTCAGAATTTGAGAGTCTTGCTAACTTGATTTTAATTTCCCTTTTTAGTAAGGGGGTCGCGTTATGAATGAGTAAATTTATGAGGGGCGTAATAATATCAATTGGCCTTGGGGTGAGGGGAGGGGAAAGGGAACGAAGAAGTGCCTGATTTACTAGTATAATAAATGAAGTGACTAATTTATCTTAATCGCCATTTCCTGTAGTGTGAAAATGTTCGCGTGATCATCTTCTCGCTTTTATATTTAATGATGTTCAAATTCAAATTTTGAATATATTGAAATATACAAAAATTAAACTTAAAATGATGGCGGCCAGATTAGTTGCTCATATTATTACTGCTATGATATAATATAAGTACGACTACATGGTTTTATAGATTCCAATAAGAGGTGGGGGGGGGGCATTGATTTAACAATTATTTATACAGTCAAGGCCGATACCATAATCACACCTAAATAAAAACAATATGTCGGAAAAATTAACTCACATTTCAAACATTCTAGAATCGACCCAATCTATTGTCAACGCAGAATCTGGGTTCTGACGGATTGACTGATTGACTGATTGACTGGACTCTTGGAACTTAGGGTAAATTCCTTATATTCGATACTTCCCTTATCTCTTCTTAATCCCCATCAAATTAAAAAAATTTATAATCCTATGTTATGAGCCAAATCAAAAAAGCTTTATAAAAAACGTTTAAAAAAATTAACTAAACCATTCGTTTACTCCAATTCCTAACACAAAAAAGTGGAATATTCTCTTCTCTTCTCTTCTCTTCTCTTCTCTTCTCTTCTCTTCTCTTCTCTTCTCTTCTCTTCTCTTCTCTTCTCTTCTCTCTCTCTTCTCTTCTCTTCTCTCTCTTCTCTTCTCTTCTCTTCTTTTCTCTAAACTTATAAGTTTTTATAATTACTATTAAGCAGTAAAAAGGCTCAAACGACAAACCCTTCTAAGAAAAAATAAAAAAAATCTCCCAGAAAAAAAATGGAATATTGATCTTTCTTTAAGAACCTAGCTAAAACAAAAAATAATTCTGAGATCCCCGAAATTGTAAATGCTAGGACACCAACTCCTAATGACCACAATAAATATTGGCACAATCCTCAATATCACTTTCACTAAGGCGGATCAAGGTTAACTAATGAATTCCGTGATTAGTACATTAAATAAATTCTGACTATACGCGGATTCTTATAAAATAAGACTTCCAAGAAAATCATAGGGATTTAATAAGCTTTATAAACCAAAAAATAAAATCAATAATCATATAAATTTATTAATTAAAAGACAATTAAAAAACTAATCATTTTGAAATCGATTATTTTACAAACAATTTTTAATATTTTTTTTTAAAAAAAAATATTATTTAATTAATCAATGTACTTAAAAGAATTTAAAATAAAATAGTCACACTACACTATTTAGCAAATTTAGCGATTTTATTGATTTAGCTGTAAAGAGGCCTGCTTTTTTAAAAAATGATTCTCAATTTGTCCTCCCTGAATATTAGTATTCCGCTAATGTGTCTTGGCGATATAAGTGTTGCTGAATTGACGTGGAAACCACCCTTACGATGCTTAAAATTAGAAAAATCTAAGAAAAAAGTGCTATTACTAATTAGCCATCAGCGTCACCAGGACCTTGTTAAGATATTTGGTTGATCCT